GTCCCTTTCTTCTATTGATTACTAATATTTTTTCTCTTTAAAGTGTTTTTAATATAATACAAACCCTATCTATGGAAAACATGTCAATCACAAAAAATTGAAGCTATGAAATAATTCTTCATATTTTACCACCCTCAAAGAATCTGTATAGACTGCTTGCTCAATAATCATACAGAACTCACGCGAGGCAGGCACTGTTACTGTCTGTTTGACAGAGGATAAAAAGGAGGCTCAAAAGAGGTAGCTGCTTTGCTTGTCAGTGACAGAAGCAGTTTAAACCTGGGGGATCCTGATTTCCAACCCAGGTAAGCGACCTAGCTGCAGTTGCCTTTTAAATCCATGCTCTGTGGGACAGTGACTGCCACTGCCAAGCCAGGGCTGCCCATGATCAGCCCTCTGACAGGGAGAGGACCTGGAAGATAGGAGGGTGTGTGTCTCCCGCCCAGTAGCTACACCTGTACCAGGCCCAGGTGGACTTAGCCCTACTGTCCCTCCGTACAATGATAGGTCACATGGTGCCTGTGCTCAGTGGAATAAAGTCTGCTATGAGAAGCTAAGAACTGTTAGAGGAAGCAAGAGTCTCACGAGGAACCAAGTCACATGTCACGGCTAGGTGAGACGCTGTTCCTAAGAGTGGTGGGTTACTACAGAAAGGATCTGTGGAGTCATGCTCATGGACTGCCTTACAGGCAGAGGGAGTCTGCCGCAACAGAAAATGGCTCTCTCTGGGGCTGGTTGCAAACTAGGGTAGAAGGAAATGGTCTTTACAGGTCTGTCTTCCTCTGTGAGGTGGTTTTTAAGACTATGTACATGTGTAAAAACATACCCAGTTATATACCAGATTTGTCTATTTTATTGGATGAACGTAAATTTAAAAAAGAAAACAGAAACAAAGAAATCAAGTGTCCGCAAGAGCAAGTCATTACTAAACACGGCCAGGCCTGTCTGAGCAGCCAGGTTCAAGCCAGCACGAGCCAGCTCGACCAAGTCTGTGGAGAGTTCCCCCAGCAATTGTCATTTTCTGTGAGAAGAACAGATGGTCCAGGGGCTGTGACAGGGCAGCAGTGAACTGCTGCTGAGGAGAGGGGTGTGGTGTAAGAGCACAGTCTCACCTTGATGCCGTCGGCCCAGGATGGGGTGGGGGCCTATGGTAACTTCTGGAAGGATCGTGGGACTGGGGCTAGGGAGGTGGCTGTCAGGAGAGCTCCAGGGAAGGGGTAGGTGACACAGAGGGGAAGGATGAGGGTCGGAGGACCTTGCTGTGGCAGTGGATCAGCTGATACCCCAGCAGCTTCTTTGGGTTAGACACGGCAGGATGGACACCTCAAATACAACAAATCCCAACTCACACTCATTCTCCCTCTCTGAGGTTAAGATGTCCCTGACGTCTCCCTTAGGCACCAGTGCCACCCTAACCATAACCCACAGCTGCCTCCTGGGGAGAAAGGGCCTTCAGCCTCTCTTTCCCTGCATAGTAACTGGCTCTTTCCAGTACAACTGCAACCCTACTCATCTGTTTACTCCCCAGCAGCCTGGTCCTCTGTAAGCTAAGACAAGAACCGCAGCACGAGCGCTGACAGCTGCTATTAGCTGCTATTAGACATTCAAGTGCTTTTCGGTAGCTGCAAAAATGCACAAAACAGGTAAAACGCATCTGCATTTAAAACTAAGTAAGCTGCCTGTGGACGGACGAGTCGGCGTGCCCAGGGCCCAGGTCAGTGATAGGTATCGCTGGGCTTTGTTGCCTGGCTTTAGTGCTCCTCATGCTAGCCACCTGTCTCGTGCCCTTAGGCTTCCTGTCTCTCTCCTCTCCCTCCTTTCTTCCTTTGACGTGCATGCCAATCTCAAACTCCTGGGCCGATGAGACCTTCCCTCCTCAGCCTCCAGCGCAGCCTTTGCTTTGGCCTGGGTGTCATCATAACAACTTTTAGCCAAGTTCCTTTGATAAACAAGGTATTCAAATACCTGCTATGGATTGTTTAAAGTGACTCCGGATGGACAGAATTCAGTGCAGAGCTTATGACTAAACAAGAACTGGTTCTTATTTCGAGATGTTCAGGTAATTATGAGGAACCCCAAATGATTCTAGTTGCTTCTAAAATGGTATCAAGTGGAGGATAACCTTCATAGGCACTGGGCCTGGTCTTGAATTTCTCTTTGACAATGGGCTTCTGCTCACAAGCCAGGGTAGGTAGGGTGAGTGTGAGGTGTGTAGGAGACAAAGACACATGAAAGACCTGTGACGGACCTCCACACTGCAGTGTCCTTGTGTCCTGTGCTTCATACCTTGCCGTGTGTGTGTGTGTGTGTGTGTGTGTGTGTGTGTGTCTGTGGTGACAGACATTTCAGAGCACACCCTGAGATGGGAAACTCACAACTGTTTTGCAAACAATTGTCATTCGTGATCCTAAAATAGCTACATTTGGCACGTGTTTCAGAACACTGCCTGCACTCTCATAATCAACACGCGGCACGGCTGTGGCCTGCGGGTGACATAAAACCCGACTTGCAAATATTATTAGGCACATGGACCAGCTGTCTACAGGAGCTTATTAATCCCCGGCAGGAACGTCGGCATGAAGCACACATGCCATCTGCAGAATACATTGGCAAGTACATGGCGGACCTTTCCATCTAGTGGAAAGGCCAGGGCAGGGCAGACCCAGTGGAGGAACTGTAGGAACAGCTGGGCTAGCCAAGGCTGGAAAATGAAAGTCTCTCTGGGCCCCCTGACACATGTGAGTTTGAGAGGTTGTCCCTTGAGGCTTTTTCCATAAAATAAAGGGGAAATGGGACTTATGACCAATTCTCTCCGGTTTTACATTCTGCTCTCTGATTCACTGTCTTTGAGGGGAAGACAGTGGGCACGGTTCAAGAGCACACATGACCAGGTGGGCTGTACTGTTTTCAAATCCCAATCTTCAACTTGTGAGCTTTGTGGTTCGTACGAATGAATCTGCTAACTCTGGGTCTATTTCCTGCCCCTTGCAGGTCAGGCAGCTCCAGGTCCTGGCATACCTTGGCCCTTTCCGGTTCTCAGCTTCAGGACAGCATAGACTATCTCTCCTGTCACACTCCAGCCCTTCTAACTCCTGGTGCTTAGCCCTTTCCAGTGTTTCGTACGCATCTGAAGACAGTTGGCTAAGATAAGAAGGACGAAATAATATTCTAGGAGGGAAGAGAGGAATCAAGGGAATTCTGAACAAAGGACTAAGGCTTGTCCTTGGGAAGGGGTTCAGACTGCGGTCTGGATGCCATGGGAGGAGGCAGGACAGAAAGGCAGTCATGACGGGAAGTGAGAAGGCTGCATGGCCAGGCTGAGAGGGTCCTAGATGGGTTCCAGCGCAGAAACTGGCATGAGAGGTGCCAGCTGCCTAAGGCCACAGTCTTAAGCACCTTAATGAATGAGGCGTGACTTATCTACCCAGTCCATTCCAGTGGTACCTCTGTTAGCATCTGCTGGCTCCTGGCCCACCATCTCTCATTCATAGATGGGTCTAGGGGGTTAACCACAGACTCTGCAGAGTTCAAAGACTAGTTAAAAAGTGAACAGTCTTGCATTGCTCCCTCTGCCACGGAGACTTTCTTACAAACAGGAGGAAGCTCCCGAGCTTCACTGAAGCCATTTCCTGAATCAAATATTCTGGTTATCAACTTTACATGTTCTCCCTCAGGGCCAGGCCTCTGATCACATTCACTCTACCCTCTTGGCATGCCATGTCACCAAATCACGTCTGCGTTCCTCTCTGCTTAGAGATACAGCCTATTTTCGTGCCCCCACCTTGGGTGTGTGTCCCTGTACATGCCCCTCACATGATCCCACAAGGAGGCTCCAGGACAAGAAATGGTGTATGTTGGAGGAATTCAAATACCCGAGCTGTTTGTCTGACACGCAATCGGGCATTTGGACCATATCAGTACCTAGGCAGGGCCCCAGTTTAACATTTTCTCCCATCATCCACTGCATTTCCATGTTGAGTCAAATGAAAGGCGGAAGGAATTGCTATGAACTTAAAAAAAAAATCAAAGAGTGAGGAAAAGAAGATTCTAAAAATGAGTGAAATTACTATTATTCATAAAACTGTAGAATGCACCGTCCTATAATCCATCCCAGTTACTGCTCAGCCTGGCTGGGGTGGCCAGGCTTTGGTTAGCTTCACCAATGAAACCTACTCCCTGCCTGAGTCCCAGCTTTAAAACCCACACAGAGGCCTCGGCAGTTGCTAGTTCCTCAGTGCTATGCCTGGACACAGCCATGCAAGCAGCCAGGAAGTCAGAAAACACCTTGGGAATTCCTTCCTGGAAGGAAACTAACCAACAAACACCCCCAGTGGGTTGGCTTCTGGTTTGGTATGTGTTTTACATAACACTAATGTCTGTGACCTTTTGTAGGCGGTGGGTGGAGGAAGAGGAGAAGGATAGAGGGCCTTTCAGGCACTGCATCCTCTAGGCCCTCCAGACCAGTTCTTTTCTCCTTGGTGCTTTGCTGAGCTCAGTCTCGGGCTGGGCCTGGCTAGGCCTGGAAGGCAGCTGCTGAGTGAGGTCAGGATTAGCCTCCGTGTGCAGGCTCTCTACCAGGAGGTGCCTTTGCTCAGGCACTACCCACTCCTGCTGCACACGGAGCCTTGATTCCCTGATATTACGCTCTCGGTTTTCCAACACCACACCTGTTCCTTTGTAAAAGACTCAGAGTGTCACCCAATTTCTGCTCAGACATGGCTGACTGAGAACGAGCTATAACTTGGTTTCCCACAGCCTTCTCTCTCCAAAAGTGGAACATCACGTACCTAGATACTTCCCAAAAGCCAGGGGCTATGGGAACAGACACCCACTTACCAGCCCAGCGCTGCTGCACGCACTTACTAAATCCACTAGTCCCCTACCTGAGAACTGTCAAACTCTCGCCATATCAGAGAAAACAAAGGGAAGCTGGAGGAAACCAAGGTAAGGAGGAAGGCTTGCAGGATGCAATCAGGAGCCACTGTCCTGGAAGTGCCCACCTTGTCTTGCTGTGTACTCATTGTCTTCAATCAACCGAGCCAATCCAAAGTCAGCAATCTTGCAAATGAGTCCGTTCCCCACTAGAATGTTTGCTGATCGCAGGTCTCTGTGGATATAATTCATGCGTTCGATGTAAGCCATTCCTGCAGCAACCTGTGGAGAGCCAGGGAAGGGGCACAGCTGTTACACCACACGCCCTCGCCCGAGTGTCCACACGTACAGCCACAGCCCGAACCCAGACCCCGGCGGGCCTACCTGTGCTGCCATGTCCACAAGGTTCGGCAACTTCAGGGCTCGTCCTTCACCATCTTTTAAGAAGTCAAGCAAACTTCCTATGAATGAAATAAAACAATTTTAGTTTACCCAGAAAGGCAAAGATTCCCAATAGTGGCTCTACCTGATCTCCTTATTGGAAATAAAAGGTAGATGGACGGGACAATCACATCAATGGAAAAAGAAAGCTCTGAATAAAAAACAGAAACCAATTTCAAGTTTTAAGAAGCAAGTTGTAGCTTCTGAAAATAAGCAGTGTTTTTGTTTCTAGAAATAAAGGATTTAGCAAAAACGAGAAGAAATGAACTTCATCTCCTTTTATGTCACAAGAAGGAATCAAGCCATCCTCCACGTCCCGGTCACCGCTGTACAGGGACTGATGTGGAGAGAGTCAGCTTGGGTGAGCAGTCTGAGGCTGGACCGCTCTGACCAGTAGCAACAGCAGTAGCAGTATTTGCTGGACATGCATATCCTCGGGGCTCTATCCTCTACATCAGAAATTCCGGAGTCCCACAGATGCCTGTGTCTTTAGAAGATCTCTTCTAAGTGATTCAGGTACAAAGGAGTTTCAGAATTGGTGACTTATTTTCAGATTTTAAGCATCTGAGGAATATGGGTGGGGCAGGAGCTTCTAATTAGATCACAGCTAGGCACGCCTCTGCCTTAGCCAGGGTCTCAGAGCCAAGCTGATGAGGCTGAGTGAGGAGGATCTGACACCAAGACAGACAAAATCATTTGCAGGAGCTGGGGGCCACTGATGGATGGCAGTGGGTTTTTCTTTCTTTCTTTTTTTTTTTAATGCTTTAATCACAAAGTTATTTACAAAATAACCCTGGATCCAAAGGGCATACAATCTGCCAGGAAAAAAATTCCAATTATATTTTAAAAGAAAGTACACAGAGAAGGGAAATTACACTGGTGTCCTCTGATGTACAATGCACAGCCTTTTAAGGCTGTTTCTTGTTTGGTTCATTTATTTTTCCAAAACAAAGTGATCTCTGGCTTCATCCCCAACAATGCTGGTTCCATTATAATGATGCACACATGCTCACGTGGGCACCAACACACGCATGCGCACAGGGGGGTGGGGAGGGAATGACTGCATGTCATTACTTCACCTGACGTTTAAGGAGAAAGCTGGGGGAGAAGCTGTTGAGATGGGGACTGAACTTAACCCAGCAACCATCTGCTAGTGATTACTTAGCGCTAAAAAGGGAACTTGAGCAGAAGCCACCGATTCAAAATGGCAGCAGGCCTCACAGTCCTCTGCATCAGCTCGGATGGATGTTTTAATTATGCAGAGGAAGACTCCTGATGTGTCACGTGCAAAAGGCACTGCACTTCTCAAGAAATCGTGAACTCAATGTCCCCCCTTTTCTAAGTGTTATCCTGGGCGAGCAGAGTGGATACTTCCTGATGGGAATCCCGGGTGAGGAGGAGGGGGAGGCACACCGCTGTGAGGAGGAGGGGGAGGAGCTCGGCCTGACCTTTGTTCATGTACTCCGTGACGATATAAATGGGTTCCTCGGACACGACGGCATAGAGCTGCACCAGCTTGTCATGTTTCAGCTTCTTCATGATCTGCGCCTCCTCCAGGAAGGACTCCGGAGACATCGTGCCTGGCTTAAGAGTCTTTATGGCTACTTTTGTATTTCCATTCCAGGTACCTACAGATACCCCACAATATCAAGTCAACCCAAAGGTACTCTTTGCATGGGAAAAATAATTTTTACCAGCAACTTTGTGCATAAAATTAGACTTTAAGCTTTAAAACCTTAAAATAGTTCTTACGAGCAAAGACAATGGCAAGGACTCTGTCAAGTATTTTGAAGGAAAAATGAGTTTACTTATAGCTCTTTAATAATTCACTAGCTTTTTCCATTTGATGTGTGTCACTCTTTTTATGGCTTATGTATATAATTGTGAATTTACACCAGAGAGCTCTGGGCTCTTATTTAAGTGATGAAAGTTTAGGATTTAGAATTGGCCTGGGTGTTCAATAGCTGTCCTTTAGATAAAGGAAAAGCCTGGAAGAAATTAGATTAAATTCCATTTTAGAGGGTGTGCCCCTATAAAAATATGGCCACATGCCAAGGATGTTCGGAATAGGCTCTCAACTGTCTGTACTAAATGAGACACTTGACTGAGTCCTTCAGAAGACAAGCTAAGTGTGCCCATAAGCACAGGCCAGGAGCACACCATCTCCTGGCCCACAGTTCCCCAGGTAAGGTAAATTCCTCCAGCTTCCTGAGAGTCAGCCACAGAACAATGGCTTCTATCAGGTGGGCTGGGAGATCAAAGAGCAGCCAGGAAAGAAGAGAAGAACTTAAACGTGCCATGTTTAAATACTTCTTTAAAAATCTAGCTGACCCAAAGGCCAGTCTGGCTCATGGCTGCTGTCAGTCCATCTGTAAAACAGAGGAATGAACTAGCTTGTCTTTCGGTTCTCAAATTAAAAGACAGAATTCTGGCTTATTCTATTTCTAACCAATGGCTTTGAAGGATGATTTTATAAAAGAAAAATAAGAATCTGCTAATTGAAATTACATTGCTTACAATTTGAAAGAGAATTCAGGTTCACACTAAGATTTACCTAGGTGTCATCTATAACTTTCAACTCTAAGGGGTCTGTATCTTGAAGCATTTCTTATTATTCTGTTAAGACATAAAATTACAACACACATCCTACAGGGGAAACTATATGGAGAAGAACCAGTGGCTTAAAGCGTTCTTTCATCTCAGAGAGTACCTGCCTCAGTGTAAACGGGAACTCTGACAAGCTTTCAGCGGCCTCCAGGATCTGACTGGTAGCATTTTCTAATTTGAGCACAGTGCGATCTCTCTCTCTCTGCTTGGGTAACTGCCTAGGCATCTATCCCAACTGTTGTGTTCCATGGGAAATGCCTTGGTGCTCTGTGTAATGACTTGAAATTGACACTAAAGACCATATGTACATGTTTTTATCCATTTAGACTCTAAGGAAGGGAGACCTGAATACACTTTGTTATCATTTTATGGACAGACATTTTGGGGGAGGGGTCTAAGTTTATAGTCTGTCTGTAAGTAAAGTTGCAACCGACCCAGAGGGTTATAAAAGCCATCTCAATGGCCCAGTGCAGTTGGCATTACTGAAGAATGTGTGTATAATGAAGATATGTGTGTACAGATCTAAGATCTATAGGAGATTTTAAATATATCTGATATAATCTCCAAATAATCCAGTGAAGCATGTATCACTTCAGTTTTACAGATGAGGACTGGAGCCCAGAGGAGCGCTTAATCATGCAGCAAGGGTTGAGAGCCAGGCTCAGTGCCTGGGAAGCCCATGACCTTACTCTGAAGCAGCTCTCACATGGCATCTGACATCCCATTTTACAGGAAGAGAAAGAGGCACCATCGCTGGCTTCCTGCTCTGCAGGTGTTTAATGAGCCATGAAATAGGACAGATGAACACAGCAAGGTGCCACTGAAGTCTGCAAACCTGACGGCTTGAGCCCATCTAGTTACAAAGGTTAAGGGTCTTTGTCCCAATGGCCACACAGGCATTTCTGTTCAAAACTGTCCTTTTCACTGGCTCGGAGATGGAGCCAAAACAGAATGTGCCCTCTGCCTTACCAAGCCACACTTCAGCGAAACACCCCTGCCCCAGCTTCTTCTCCAGAAACAACGAGTCACGTGCAACTTCCCAAGCATCTTTAGCCAATCCAGAAGTTTGTGGGGTACAACTTGATGAAACCACAGTTAAGTTAAAACACAAACCATCAGCTTTCTCTACAGGAAAGGGAATTAATAAAGAAAACAGTCCTTATAATCCATAATCATGCATGCACTAGGAAAGATGGAAGGTGACTTCCCTGAGGGCAACACTGAGCCAACGTCTGCAGCTGCCACAGCAGGGTGAGGCCTGAGCAGGTTGGAACACTGCTTCCACCGGCTGTAGAACAACCTGTAGTTCTTGCCTGTTTCTATCTCTTTTTGAAAAATTCCAAATTCTTCCAAATAAAATTAAACAATTCAAACTGTTTGTTTATCCTGATCATGAAACTATCATTGTTCCCACCTTCCATCTTGATGTTTGGGATTTCCCAAACAGGGAAGCTAATAAAAGAGTAATTGAATCTCGGCATACCCATCCATACTTCCCCAAACTGCCCATTTCCCAGTCTCTTGATCAACTGCAGGGATTCTCGAGGGATTTCCCAGACATCTTTGGTTTTGACAGACAGATCGGTAAGCCTTGGCATCCCTTTGTGACAGGGAACTACTAGGCGGCAGCAGAGACCTGCGGCTCTCTCTGGAGGAGCAGGGCAGCGGTGAGGGAGAGAAGAGCAGAATATGTAACAACAATGCACAGGCCACAGAAGGTTCAACGCACATGAGCAAACACATTGGCTGGAGGTAGATGAGGGTGTGTCAGATATGGACCCTGCTGTGCCATCGGGCACGCTCGCTGTCCACAGGCACAGCCTGCGTTGGCGTCCGGGTACTTTATTCTAATGAACTCATATTCATTACCTTGAATTCAAAATGCCCTTGCTAATTTCAAAAAGTACATATAAAAATAAAAACTGTCCCTGTCCCTTCTGGTATCTAAGGATTGAGGAACTCTCCCTGGTACAAGCATGCTTAAAATGCCAACTTTAGCAGAGGAGCCTCCCACAGAACTCTGGTCTGTTAGAACTGGTGTGTCTCAGGAGTACACCTGGCGGTGGAATGTCACATTCTCTTTAGTGACTATTCTGTCCTGACTCCACCGCTCCTGTGTGCTCACACTAATTCTTTGCAACATTCCACTAAAAGCAAACAAAACAAAAAACACGACCTTTTAAAGCTTCCTATGTATAACTTAGGAGTCTGGATGTAAAGAAATAATGGAAATTAAAAACATTCACAGAAACCGAGTGACATGGAAAGCCAGGGAAACAGTAGCTACTGTTGAGGTGACTGGGAAGTTGTTTTCCCCCACCCCTCTTCCATTTTGAAAAGACTATACCTTCGAGAATCTAGCAGAGGTATGGGGAGACTGACTGAATGCCAACAGAGAGTAAGCACACAGGGAAAGATGCAAGCCACACAGAACCCACACCGAGGTGGGCAAAGCCCCCCATGTCCCTGGAAGCCCCTGGGATTCTAAGCACAAATTGTGGTTGCCTCTTTTCTGGGAATTCTTAACTTACTTTACATTCTTTTTTTTTTTCTATCTGTTTTTGAGATGTTTAGTCAGGAGATTATTTATGTGTCAGTATTTCAAAGGCATTATATGTGCAAGAAGGAGGAAGAGGAAAAGCCAATATAAAAACAAATCTAACTCAAGATGGATTTTTTTTCCCTGAGATTAAAAACCTTCTATCGCGGCTCTGCCCGCTCCCTCCTTCGGCTCTTTGATGTTATTAAGGTGCCCTTTCCAGCACACTATTTTCAAATGATCCAAACCCCGGGGATCCTGCTGATGTTTGCCTGTAATGAAATATATCTCAGCATTTGAAAAATCCTTATATCATACAGGCGTTTTGTGTATATCACTCAGGAAGATTTTCTGCTCCATTTCCCTCAGTATTCCATTAGAACCCACATAGAACGAGAGAGCTAATGTCCAAATCACTGGCTCAGCCATTGGTAATTTTTTCAATTGGCCAGAATCAATACATAGGCACTTCCTATTGTTATTTTTAAAAGACTACACATTTTTTTTTTTTTTTTTGGTGTGCTAAAGACAGCACATGTCTTTTTCAATGGTGGGTAAAAAGGCTGGGGGTGGAAGCTCCTGTCTGTAACCCCAGCATTCGGGAGGCTGACACAGGAGGATTGCTGTAACTCTGAAAGGTTACCTCTGGCTACATAGTGAACACTAGGCTTCCTAGGGCTGCAAGTGAGACCTTATCTGAGAAAAAAGGAAGGGCCACATACACAACATGCATTGGATAACAGGACACACTTGTTAACCAAGGAAAGCAAGCATCACATACTAGACAACTGCGCATGGAGTTACATATGTAAATAAAACGCACATGAATGCACATATGCTCGATAATTGAATGGCCAAGAACAACCGAAGAATGGGGTCACGCGATATGAAGACAGTGCCTAATCTTTGTTTAATGGCATCACGACAGCTGGGTGTGGTGGTGCACGCGTTCAGTCTCAGCAGTAGGAGGCAGAGACGGGTGGATTTCTGAGTTTGAGGCCAGTAGGCCTATATAGTGAGATCCCGTCTCAAAAAAAGGAAAAAAAAAACAGAAAGCCCACGAGATAGTGGTAACCGTTGTGGCCGCACACAGGCAAGCCTGGGTAGGAAGCAGCTGCCGGGAACTGCAATGCAGATTTATTTCTACAGAGATGACGGTGACTTGCAGAAATGTGTGTGCAGCCCCGCTGAGGTGATGTGTCAAGTGAGGCTTCCTACGGGGTCCCGACTGAGCCTGCCCAGGGGCAAAACTTTCCTCCTTCCTTTCACAGTCCTGCATTACGTGATGAAGGCAATAGGTAAAGAAAGTGCAAGGGTTTTTATTCTGAAAATAAAATCACAAATACAACTTTCAAGATTTAAACTGTATGCCTTCTACTTGGGGGGAGTTCTGGAAAACACATGAGGAAAATCGTATCTGTAGCTGAAGAGCAACAGAGCCACTGACTTAGGGTGGGCACAGGAGTCTCACCTAGCGCCCTACCTCCTCCTCTTCCCGTCCCAGCTCTCAGCCCACCCACCCCTCAGTTTCCAGATGATGGTGGGTGGTTAGGACTGAGCTTACCTGAGTAATGTTGAACAAGCTGCTGGAGTGTCTCGAACTGGGCCCGCGTGGTGATGTAGTAGCCACCATTGTCCAACTTGCGGATTTTATAATGTTTGACATGGTCCCCTTTCATATCGTCCCAATCACGGATGGAAAGTGAGTAGGCACCTGGCAAACGTGCAAAGCATTAGCCGAGCCAATCATCCGAGCACCAGTCTGTTCTGTAGGCCTCACTTATTTGACTAATAATTATTAAAACCCACATGCATGCACACATACACACGAGAGAAAGAGACACACAGACACACATCTCCACTCAGTAACGGGACAAAGACAACTTTGGTTGCCTTGCCAGTGTTCGAAGATGTTAGCAACACAGTGACTTTGCTCTTGGAACTGAAAGCTTCCTGGTTTTCCTAAAAGTTTCCTTTCAGTTTCTTGTGTTGTCTAACACTGCACAGACCAATCCTACTGGGGAGATGAAGACTGGACTCCAGGTGAGCTTGCCTCCTGATTTAATTTCCTGTGGACTAGCTGTGAGGCAGGGATGATGGAGGGGTGGGAGGCAGGGGTGGAGGGGGCAGAGGGGGCTCAGGGGTGGGGGGCAGAGGTGGTTAGGGATAGGCAGGAGTGGGGCACAGAGGTATTTGGTAGGGAGACAGGGGTGGGGGACAGAGGTGGTTGGGGGAGGCAGGGGTGCAGGAGACACAAACGACAGAGGAACAGAAGGTGGGAACAAAAGAAATGGAAGTCTGTCCTCTCGTGGGAAGCTCCAAAGCTCTGCTTGCCCATCTTCACAGGGACAGGTCGCCAGTGTGTGGCACGGCACTGTTCTCTGCCCCTCTGCCTCCTCTAGGGAGTTATTAAACAGAGAGAAGAGGAAGGAGTCCTTTACTAACAAAACAAGGTGGAAGGAAAGGAAAACAAATTTAAGCTGGGCAGTAGTGGGGCACGTAGACCTTTGATTCTAGCTCTTGGGAGGCAGAAGCAGGTGGATCTCTGTGGGTTCGAGGCCAGCCTGATCTACAGAGCGAGTTCTAAGACAGCTAGGGCCACACAGATAAACACTGTCTTAAAAACAAAAACAAAAAACAAACCAAGAAGGTAAGAAAAATAGAGCTCCTGCCTTTTAGAGTCACTAGCTCTTAACAGACCCCGAGTCTGAGGAAGGAAGCCACCTGGCCTCTGCTTCTGGAGGAGCCTCCCTGAGCCTGACATCTCTTGGAGCTGAAGTTTCAGCGTCTTCAGGGGAGCTAGAGAGCAGAACCGCTTCATGCCAGAGAGGGCCATGCCAGCAAGACCCTTGTGCATTACAGCTAAGCCTTCCAATCCCAAAGACCAGTCCTCAGATTTGAATGGCACGCCAGGTTTGTCCTCTCCTTAGCTTACCTTTGGTGGTTTCACTCTCGCGGATAAGAAAGGTACCTCTTGGGTTTCCAAAGGACAGGAGCTGTCTCTCAGCATCTTTGCGGCCAAGTTTTCCAAAGTACCACCTTCAAGGGAGACGCAGGCGAGAAAATAAAGGCACTTGTGACTGAGCAAGGAATCTTTTGCTCCACAAATTCCTTGGCCCCTAATGTTATTCCTGCTGCCCTAAATCGTTTTTTTTTTTCTGGTTTCATCCAGTCCCTTTTCAGTCTTTCCTAATTCTATCCTCTCTACATCTCTTCCATTCTGAAAACAAAACCATCCTTGAATCATGGGTTGTATTCCTCCTTTCCAGGATGACAGGAACTTGTGTGTGAAAATGCCACCTGCATGCACAGAGAGAGAAATCTGCCACCTTGTTTGAAATGCCAACTGCAGGAGACGATTCCACAGCTCAGCTGTACGACCCTTGATTTCTGAGCATAATTACAACTCCTGGGAAATACCAAGACTCAGCTCCAGTATAAAGATCATCAATCAAGCATGATTTTTTTTTTTAAAGGAACCCACTTAGGATGGATAAAGAAGGAAGACAGAAAACGTTTCTACTCAGTCTCTGCCTACAGGAATTCTGAAGACACGAAGTCAGCTCTGCCCCTCATCTGAGATGGCTGCTGTCCTTGGAAGCCTGGTTTGATTTTCTCTCCCTGTCCAGCAGGCGTGAGGACTCAAAAGCACCTAGGCTGTGCTCTGCAGCTGGGCTTCTCTCTGACACAGCTGTAGAGACTGCTTACCGCACATCTGAGATCTGTGCATGGTTAATGAGCATGTCCACAAAAACGAGTCGGTGGTGGAGGCGTCTTACCATTCCCTTGCAACAGCACTGACAGCACATTTGTACAGTGGCAGGACGCCCTGCAGGCCACCTCAGGATCGGCAGTGTCTTTTGTCTCCCCACTTGTACTGCTGAGCCCTAACCAATGCCTGGTGATCTGTTCACATTTCAGCACCGGGTTGTGTATGAGAGGTTAAGTGTGCCAAGAGCCCAAGGGAGAGTTCTGGAGCATTCCGCCAGAATCTATGCATAGGAGCAGCTTTTAGGATATTTACCTATGGAAGCAAATGGTTTTAAAAATGAAGCTTCAATTGCCACTCTTGAAGGTAGCTAGTAAGTTCACTGTCAGATCCTTCTGTGAGTCAAAGAATCTCACTGAAGAAAACGCCCACCACCTTAGCTCTTCAGTGATTTGAGAAGCATCAAAATTCTCCAGAATCCCAGTGTTGCAATAGCGTGTGTGACGGATACGACACCAACTATGTGAGAAATGTCTTTCTTGATACACAGTAACTCAATTAAAATGCTGTGTAAAATTGGTAAGAGGGTTTATAGAACAATAGGTTACACCTAAGCACATAGTGCCAACTAACTGCATGTGTAAAAACCACAGGCTTTATTTTAAAGTGACCTTACATTCTAAAAATGTAGGAGGAGCTAAGGTGGAAGGAGTTAGGAGAGGAAAAGGTGGAGTAAGGAGGAGAGGAGAAAAAGGAAGAGGAGGAGCTAGGAGACAGGAGAGGAGAACCAGAGACAGAGAGGAGATGGAGGCAGATGTTCACATGTTTGTAGCAGTCAAAGGTAGTTGGTATATCTAGGTTGGGTATTGGGTTACACTTCTGATTGTATGGGTATCTTGTTACTGATCATTACCAAATATATAAGCCTTTGATTAATCTTTAAGCATTAGAGTCTCATCTTTCTACTGGGCCCACATGGATGGCGGGATGGTCTAGGCAATGCCCAGCCTTGCAGAGACAGCATGGGAGATTGAGTCATCTCCCATGCCGACGTCTTGTGGGTAGCAGGGCAGTTGTTTCTAGTTGGCCAGTTCTAGCTGCAGTACACGTGTGGCCTCCAGCCGAGAAACATGGCGGCTGGGCTAGGCAGAGCCATTGCAGTTTAGACAGTCGGATTAATGAGTGGCCGATTTTAAATACTTAGTACAACATAAAAAGCCCAACATTTTTTTTAAAAAAACTTTATCATTATAAGTATGACTTAAATATGCGGCCCCTATGGGTTCTCGGTTAAATTAAAGGAATGTTACTTTGTAGTAAGTTTTAAATTCCAAAAAGACACGGGATATATTTACAAATCTGTCCTAAAAATTCAGTACAAAATTTCCTGATAATGAAACACATTAACAATGGGAGAGGAACAGCTCAAAACCACAGTGCTGGAGAAGCAGAAGCAGATCTTAGTGTAGGAAATACAAAAGACTCAAAGGCGAGTGACTGATGGACCGGGGCTTTGGCTAGGGTGAAGCATTCATCCTCCTCGCTGTACCTGCACAAATCCACAGCGGGATGAGAGCTGCAGGCTGTGAGGCCTGGCCGGGGGCTGGGGTGGACGCCATGCTCCTGAGTTTGGGGCATCACCCTCCCTCCCCGTTTTCTAAGAGTTCCTACAAGTTTCTCTGGCAGGAGAATGAACAATGTCCAGTCAGTTATTCTTTGAGAGTCCTGGAGTCTCCTGCCACTCTCCTCAAGTGCCTCCAGCAGGAGGGTGGGGACAAACAACTGCTGGTCAACGGTGACCAGCTACAAACCAACCGAGACCTCAGTCAAAGAACACATCGCCTGAAGCCCACAGCTGCAGTACTTTCCACGTTGCTCAATGTGAAATATTTTTACCTGGGGCCAAGGGGTATGTCTTTCCAGAATGCTCAGTATTTCTGATTATCAAGCAGAGAACTCCTGGCTTAATCTTTCATAATTATCTGCCTCTCCACTGCTCAGGGAGCAGGCTGCAGGCGCCTGGCGCTCTCAGTAACACATGCTGCAGCTGCGCTTTCCCGCATTAGTTTTTAATCTGGAGCAAGTTGTTGGGTTTTCACCTAGGGTACTCATATAAAGCTTCTAATAAGAAACCGGACAGGCTTCACGGAAACCATGACGTTAATAACGGTGTACTCCACAGACCTGACAGAGTGGCAGCACTGTATTCTCTCAACCTTTAACCACTGGGAAAGCTCTTCTCCCTCCTGTGCTCTGTCACTGGCATCTTATGTGATAATTAAAAGCAGACATTTAGAAAAACAACGACAACAACAACGACAACATACTCTTCTGCCTGGATGGAGTCGACTGGAGCCACATAATTGCTAGGAATGTAGCCAGTTTCCCCAGTTGTCAGGGAGCGGGCTTCCCACCAGTCTCCTTCCCTGCAAAGGAAGAGAAGAGACGTGAATGCATCATCCAATCTGCATTCTGCAGTCAGATTCTATGCAAACTTTCAACACCGGCCCTGAGAAGGCCAAATGCTTTACAACCTGAACCACGACGAGCTGAAGTCAGCGTGCTTCTGTAACAAGCATGAGGCTCTGTTCAATACCCAGCACCACACAAGCAAAGAGTGGAAATCCCAGGAGGAGGCTGAGTTCAAGGTCAGCATCAGGAGATCCTAAAGCAAACACACTTTCCCACACAGGGCTCAGGGAGGGTGCGCTTGCAGGAGGAGCATCTTTCTGGGTAGGAGGTAACCTTGAATGAGGTGTGTGTGTGTGTGTGTGTGTGTGCGTGTAGTACACACACTAGCCTCAGTTTACTTTCGAAAAACTGAAGATTGGGGGGAAGAAGGCCCAGTGAGGGATGGATGCATGCTTAGTGTACTTAGCAAGCTTGCTCGTAACAAAGTGGGAAGAAGACATGACCTTCTACAGGTAGACTGATAGAAGACTACCATATAGCAGGCTTTCCTCAGACGCTTTCAACAGGATATTATTCTATTAAACATTCATAGCTTTAGCTGTCTGAATCTGCTGGAGGTGGGGTGGGGGTGTAGCCAGAGGGCAGGGGGACTCACAGGCGTGAACTCTGAGTTACTGTAGGAAATTTCAGACTGTGAACCAGGAGGGGGACTTCCAACACTCAGTTTAAAGTCACTGTATGTCGAACTACTATCCATATGCTTGGATTCATGATGGCTGATGGTCTGTGAGCCTCCTCATTAACAGTGGGTGGGTCAAAGCTCATGTCTGTGGAGTTCAGCTGTGACTTGCACTGAATGTCTCCCCACCACTGAAGTCAGAAACATGAGGGCCGGGGAAACAGGCCTGCCCGCCACCATATTAGGCTTCTCAGCTTCTGACCATTACAGACATATCCCCTCCTCTTCTTCTCTTTTCAGTCCGTGGAGGTAACAAGAGAAAGCTCAGGCCTTTAATTTTTTTTTTTTAAATCACCTTTTGGCTGGGCTCTGTTGATGCTCAGTCAGGGAAGAAGACATACCGACTTTGGGCTGGGGAAGATCCTCCCAGGCCGACTACACTAGGTAGACACCCTAGCCTCCTGTTAAGGCCAGAGTCTTCCTTCAGATTCCCTACAGATGAAACTTCTGACCAGGGGTACCTAGGACCAGTGATGTCTGGTGGGGTTTTAGAAAGTCACAGAATAGAAGAATAAAATGGGGACTCACCCAAGTGGGCGTGGCTATAAGATAAATAACAGAACAGTACACACACATATAACACACACACACACACACACACACACAGGCACACACACAAAATCAAAGTGATATTAAGTTTTTAAAATTATATTAAAAAAAATTATGTGTAGGCATGTGTGTCTCTCTATGCAGTCACCTGCACATGAGTGGACGTACCCTTGGATAGCAGAGACCTCTGACCTGCTGCAGCTGTGGGTGGTTATGAGTTTACTGACTTGGGTGCTGGAAACCAAACTTGGGTCTCCTGGAAGAGCAGCACATTCTCCTAACTCCTGAGCCGTCTCTCTAGTTCTAAGGGATTGTAAAACTTACTCCTTGGTTAGGTGTGGTGGAGCATACATTTAGTCCAAGAACTTGGAAACAGAGCCAGCTGACTCTCTGTGAGTTCAAAGCCAGCCTGGCCTACACAGTGGGTTCCAGGCCAGTCGGAGCTACATAGTGAGACAACAAACAAACATACATGTTCCTGGCATCTTTCCCTTTCAACCTTATTAAATGAACAGATCAACCACGAGAGTGATACTGTAGTTCTCTTACCCAGAAAACTGTTGAATTATAATTACAATGCGTCCATATTCTTGTCTGAAATATTTATACTTATGAAAGAATTTACATAGACAAAGTCCCCAGGGAGAGCCGTGTCGTTTGCCAGGTGGACATCTCTCCAAGCTGTCATCTGTGCATATGTGCCTCTGCCTTGTCACACACACAAGTCACGACGTGTGTGCTGTGTGGCAGGGTGCTTGCCTAGCTCGCACACGGCAAGGATCGTATTCCCATTACCAAGGAGAAAACAAAATGTTAGCACTTTAAGTCAGCGCTGTTCCCATGTCTAGCCCCACAGAAATATATGTGGTTGCAAGTCTAGCATCTAAATGCATATGTAGAAGTTATACTAACCACCATGTGTGTTGAAGAAAAAGGCTTTGGAAACACTACCTTCATTTTAATAGTGACAATGTTTACTGCTCTGAAATTCCACTAGATGGAGACATTTCATCATTAAAAAAAATAAAAACCACCCACTGGCTCTTCACTGCAACCTGGCTCCCAACCTGGGAAATGCTCCAAACCGGTGAAGAACAATTAAGTGCTGGTAGCACAGGCTTATTTTCTAATGCGTGCTAACCTTCATCAAGTTGGCTGTAATTGAATTCAATTAGAGAAAAACTAGCATCAATTTCAGGTGTTGTCAGAATGTTGGGGGGAGGAAGCCAATACATCTTGCTGCAAACTGGGACAAGCCCAGTCTTATTTAGGTGACTTGGCATTAACGAAGCAATTTCCAGTTTAAGTATCAGCTGTCTTGTTTTGGTGTAGGTATCTAAATGGTTTACACACATTAGAATTTAACAGTTATTCAGAAGAAAGATAGCACCACTCTGGACTTCCGTTTCTGGGCCAGGCAGGGCCATATTTTTTCCCCTTCACAGGGATGACACACAAATGACAAAGACTCACACATTATGAGGCAAAAGTCACATCTTGTGGTGTTTTTCTCACACTCTGTTCTCACTGGTCCTTGAGGAGCAGAGTGGTAAGAAATAAACAAATAATAAACAAGCAAAAACTGGTTAACTCACTGGCAGCACCATTCACCTACACAGACCTTCTGCACAAGGCGATGGTTTGCAGCAGGATCTCTAACAGAACTGTTACTCTTGACTTGAGGTACTGTAGTTATTCAGTCTTTGTAAATCGTGTGTGTGTGTGTGTGTGTGTGTGTGCGCGCGCGCGCGCGTGCGCGCGCGCACGTGCTGTTCAGGTATTCTTGCCAGTGTGTTTGCATGTCTACAGAGGCCAGAGGATGATATGGGCATCTTCCTCAGTTGTTCTCTTCTTTATTTCTGAGAAAAGGGCTCTCTCACTGAACCTGAAGCTGATTTAGCAAGACTGGGTGAGCAGTGACTCCTCCCATCTGCCTCTGCTTCCCTAGGAATGGGTCACGAGTAGTGCTGTGTGCCACACTCAGACTTCTGCATGGACACTGCGGACTGGAGCAGGTTCCCAGGCCCGACCTGCTGAGCGGTCACTCTGGTCTATAAAGCTGCACTTCTTTGAACTGTTCTTATGGTTCAGCTTTTTAATTAACTCACACCTGGTAGATACTGCCATACTGTTCTGAACCTGGATGAGAATGGCTTCTAAGTTTCTGTAACAGACCCTGTTCCTCCATTCCTGTCTTTACTCCTAAAGTCCCTCACAGGGCTGTGGCTCCAGTAGCAGGGAGGTCAGATACTTAGGAGATCAGATGGAGGCAGGAAGTTGCTTTGCCAAGAGCAGCCAGCCCTGACCTGTCCAGCCAGCCAGGGTGTGCTGGATTCCTCCTGCATTCTGCAGCTGTACTTCTTACTCAAAGACAGACTCTTGAAACAACTTCTATCACAGGTCTGGGTAATCCAATTTTTGTTTTCTGGCTGGGTGGTGGTGCACGCCTTTAATCTCAGCACTGGGGAGGTAGAGACAGGAGGATCTCTGAGTTGGAGACAAGCCTGGTCTATAGAGTGAGTTCCAGAACAGCCAGTGCTACACAGAGAAACCCTGTCTTGAAAACAAAACAAAACACCAAACCAAACCAAACCACAATTTTTTTTCCTAATTATGACAGAAAAGAACTTTCAGTAGGTCCTGGGTCATGACCATGTTTCTATCTATGTAAAATACCGACTACATTTTAAGGACATGCTGTTTCAAAGTGGGTAAATCACCAGTTACAAAGTGTGAAAACGGGGGATAGAATAAGTGAGCTTAATTACAGTGCAGAGGGAGCTCAAGCCTTTTAAAACTGAGAACTACCAACAGGTCAGTGAGGCCCCCCAAACCCTGCACACACTAGGAGGAGCCCTCCTGAGCATGTCTTGATAGAGGGGTAGTCAGAAGGGACATATACAGGAGGAGGGGTGGCAGTTGTCCCAGGGAGGACAGAGCCCCATTCCTCTCAGTGCCAGATCCAGGGCTGGGGGAGGGAGGGAGGGAGGGAGGGAGGGAGGGAGGGAGGGAGGGAGACCTTCTTACCATCTGCTCTGTGCTCTTGCTTTGTATTCTCTTCCCTGTCATTACCCTTGACTCCAGGATATCGTCTTGCTGTACAAACCTTACTTTTCTTTTCCATAACCTTGAAAAGGGGCACTTAAATGCCATGTAAGACACAGAATTCCACTCTTAAAGGAAAAGCCCCTTAGCAATGTTCTATTCTAGAAGAACAGGGTCAGAGGACCACGGACTCTGGAACCATTGAAAGCTATGCAGTCAAATAAAATGCAGTGAGATAGCCTGCATCTGCCCTTAAACATGCCTCTAAAATTCCCTTTGTTGATAGTGTAGACTCTTTCTGCAACAAAGGACAATAACAGGGCCTTGACTTTGCCAGTGACTAACTCAGCCATGGCTGCAACCTCAAAACATAGGCCTACATTAGGTGCCCAGAATTGTATGTGCCTTTTTCTATCCCTTCTACTTCTTACTTCCTAGGGTCTACAGGGTTTCAAACTTCCAGTCAACCCTGCCAGCTAAGGGATATTGTAGGAACCGGGGAGCTTTACACAAACCCAGTCAGTAGACCCTAACAAGCAGCATTCGTGGGAGACTCACACTGACAATAAGCAATGATAAATGGGAGGAGATCAAAGGCAAACGCCCCCTCTCCAACTCCGCAGCCACCTCCCCCATTTCCACTGTCATTCAGACACTCCAGCTGCCTCTGATGGCAGCATCTGGGCATTTCCAAGGTCACACCTGACACCATACTCAGAATTCTCAACCCCACATCTCACTCTGGGCTTTGCCACCTGCCAGGACTGTGCACTTGGGCAGCTCCCTCGCCTGTGTTCTCGGATGTCACAGAACATACTTCAGACAGTTGTTGAGAAGAATAAACGACAGCAATCCTAACTTAGTACACGGTCAGTGCATAAGGCACTCTCAATAAACGGCAGCTGCTTACTATTTTAAAATCCCTGCGCCTGCAGGAGATCTTGGGGTGGGGGGAGAAGGAACTAATGCTGGCTGCACACACATGATTAGTCTGTGAGAACACCGTAAATTTTGTTTTTGAAAATTGTAGTAAAATACGTGTAACATAAACATATCAATTTTTACATTTTTAAGTGTGAAGTTACAAAATGGTAAGTTAGTATATACATTGTTGTACAACCAGCACCAGGCATGGTTATATGCACTTTTGCCATGTGTTTCAATAAATTAAAAAACAAAACAAAACACACTCATCCCTCTTTTGTGATGACAACTGCTCCTAATTTTAAAAGTCTCTTGCTTTATGCAGACAGTGTCTGCTGACATTTTAGAAGAGTTACTAGTGTGTCTGCAGGTATGGGGTTTTGCTGTTGAAAGCTGGTATGTTCTCAGTGCAGTGCTGACAGCCAGGGGCACCCTGGGAAAGAGCAGGCTTCCCATAGATATACTCTTGAGGTTACAGGGAGTTCCCACTGCCACACCCCTCTTTTCTCTGGGTATGTTACCTTCTTACCTCAGCCCCTAGGTTCCTCTTTTTTAGAGGGAGCTGACGGGCCAAGCTTCAAGTCATTCAACTGCCTTGAAATTCAGCCAGAGAAATCGCAATTGGACTTCCTAGCAAGAGCAGCCCCCACCCCCATCCCAGGCGCGGATGCATTTGTCACACCTTACCCCCAGACCCAATGGCATGTGCGCTTCACCTCCCCAATCCCGAACTTACGAGCTGTTCAATATTTGAAATTTTTCTCCTTTGTGAAAACTCAGGTCATCTTCCGTGCGTGCCTCATAGTCATAAAGTGCCACAAACAGTGTCACTCCTGCCAAAAAAGGGCGGAGATCATTACACAGGGAATTAATACTATGAAATCACATTTTCGTTAAATATCTATGTTTAGTCTATGTTTAGTCAGCATTAATAGACGTATTGAGGCATTGTAATTAATATGGTGTCACCATGGTAGCTTTATAATGTAGTCTGTGTAGGGGGGCTTTATGACAAAACCCGAGAATTGAGGGCCGTCTCGCCATGCGACTCTGTGAGGTCTGAGGAGGAGACAGGGCTCTGACTGACACGGATCTGTGGCAAGGACTGGCCTACTTCATCCCCTACCCATTTCCCTGAAGGCTTGTGCTACGGCCTAGGTGAATGGATCACTCTTTCAACCCTAGCACAAGGTAGCAGTGAACGGAACAGACTTGTTCTGTGCCTGGGAATGTTCCGCTGTCTCTGCAATGCTCACCCAGGTGGGAGATGCACTGCACCCACCCACAGCTTGGTCATGAATGTCAGTCTCGCTGCTGATACTTCCCGCCCCCTTGGTTCTTCTTCTGCATCTGCCTCTCCTCACACGGTCTACTCCCTCTTCCTCAGTCTTAGGTCCTTTCACCTGCCGACTCTCGGGGACTGTACCACATCCCAGAAGTTTCCTATCAATAGCAAAAATCTACCCAGCATTCTGCTTAGCCTAGGGCTTGCCCCATGCGTTAGGCAGAGCACAGTGACTCCCGCCTGGGTTCAGTCTCTTGTGCAGCCCTCCTTTCCTTAGGAACATAATGACTTCATTCACTTAACACAGTATACAAAGGGGACAGATGTCCCCAGTGTGACACATCCGTTCAGAAGACGGTGATTTCTCTGCTGCCACACCACCTTAAGGAGGGTGCTATGCTAGCATAACAACAAACTGGCTAAGCCCTGGACAGGGACTTGATCCTGCCACACCATGTGAGCTAGGCAGCAGCCAGCACACCCTGCCCACAGCCTCTAACCAGGTTATCCCTCCCAGATTCAGACCCACAGAAACACAGATAACAGATAGAAGATCGTAAATGAATGCATTGTTCAAGCTGCTACATTTTGTGATTGTCACACAGGATGTGATAACTAAAGGGAGCTTTTAATTTCTCTGTAATCTGGCTTCTCGTATTGATTTCCACGCATTTCAAAGCACCTGCCATGATGGCTTATCCACACTGGCTTCCCTTCTCCCAAGTCATTTCCAGGGAGAATGGTAGGCATGAGAATGGAGAAGAACTTGTCTTTCACCTGTCTCGGGTAGACATCCTGACCACGGAGCAGGGCTCCTTCAGGACTGACTTCCTTTCCTAAGGTTTCTCTGAGAGTAGAGGAGTCTGGCTTAAAACAAAATGTGGTGGCCTCTATGGTCAGGCCTACTCAGATTTCATATTTCATTAGCTGATGTCGCTTCTTTTATAATATTATAGCAAAACCAAGCCATCTTTACTTGTGGAATGGACCTTCCTGCCCTCTTCCTCCATCACTGAGGGGTTTTATGCACTGGGGATGGAGGAGGAAGCAAAGCAGGCAGGAGAAAATGCAGACTACTCGCGACCTTAGGGGCCTGATGGCAAGGCTTTCTGAAAGATCAGGACACACAATGCAAACCCCCTCCCCCACTCCCCCGCCCCGAGGATGGACATCGGCTAATATCCCAGGCTCTGCATCTTGAAAATGTATATTTATACATATGTACTTTTGCCTAGGTGTACCACATGTGTGTCAGAGCCTGCGGGGACCAGAAGAAGACACTGGATCCCTCTGAACTGGAGTTACAAGTGGTTGAGAGCCATTGATGGAGGTCCTGGGAACAGAACCTGGGTTATCTGTCAGAGCAGTAAGAGTTCTTAACCCCTAAGCCAGGGCACTGGGCTTTAAACTTCAAATAATATTAGGAGTCAGGTGGCTTCTTCCATTAAGACTATCCAAGGAGCCCGTGCTAGTGACCTTAATGAATGAGACATGTTCACTCGGGATTCATATCTAGCCTTCATGAATGAATGAACAGGGTTGATGCTTATGTTTGCTGAATTAAGAGTCAGCAAACATAGAAATCTCAACAAACAGCTCTCACAGAGGGTGTGCGCGTGTGTGTGTGTTTGATACTTTTGGCTTTCTTTTTTCTTCTGTATCTTCTAAGGACAGAGGGCCTAGACTGTTTGCTTCCTTTACAGGCACCTGAGGTGGGGGTGGGGGTGGTGCAGGACACGGAGGTTTGGTGAGGGTCTCATATAAGGCTGGGTTGAGGGTAAGCTAGTGTCACTGTAGCACAGGGATGAGCACAGGGTAGACACTGACAGTGCGGTGCAGAAGAGACAGTATCCAAAGATCACAGGTCAGGACCCTCTTTCAAATCCACAGAGAAAGAGCCTAGCCTCAGCAGTGGCAGCTCTCCGGGTAAAAAACCATAAGTTGTCAGAGCAGACACGAGGCGTCTGTCCCCAGATGAGCCGAGAGACACTACATTCTTTTAAACTTTTGTAATAAACAATTTTGGAACAAATAATGCCAAATATCTGGTTACCATGGTTCACACACTGGGAGAGTATTTGGAAGACTACAAGTACATGAGACAGCTTACAAGAACTGTAGGAAACGTGTGTGAGGACGCATGCCAGACACGCTATAGACCATCAGCTAAGTCAGCAAATAGATGTGGAGCGAAACCTAGCCCTGTGGCGTAAAGACAAGGAACCTTGGGGGAGGGAGGGAAGACACAGAATGTGAACCGGTCTTGACAAACAGAGCTCGGCTTGAAACATACACAGCCGGTGTGGTATCTCATGGCTGAGCTCCCAACACTCGCTGAGGCAGGGGGATTGTTGATAGTCTGAGGACAGCCTGGGCTACAAAGGGACAGCCTGTCTCAAAAGTCACACACAAAGCAAAACAACAAACACACAGACTGTAAGGAGAGAATACAGAGATGAATGAGAACCTGACAAAAGAGGAAAATGCAAATATCCAGAGCAGCAGGAAGTGGCCGGCAGGCTGTACCCCAGAAGTGAGGGAGGGGTGCATGACACTGGAGAGCTCTGGTATACCCCAGAGCCGGTCCTGTTCAGGGTAGGCAGGGCTGGGAGCCCTTGGCTGACAGGCCATGGTGGATAGCTCAGTGTTAACTGGTTCAGAATTCTCAGAGCAGTAACAGGAGACCTCCTGCTCTGGAAAAGCCAGGCATTTGGATCTTAGACATTTGCAACTTTTGGTTTGAATTGGCAGATGGAAGCAGCTGACCAAAACTTCTCTGTTAATACCTTAAAGTGAGTCAACTGAAGCATACATATATGTTTGCCAAAATAATTAGGAGCATAGCCAAAGAGCTGGCCAGATGGCTCACTGGGTAACGGCATTTGCTGCCCAACCTTGATGATCTGAGTTGGATCCCTGGAACCACGTGAGCGGAGGAAGCCAGCTCCCAGAAGTTGTCCTCCGACCGCCACACACTTATGGCATACCTACATCCCATCCACACACAGCTATGACTCTGAGGAGCACAGTTGTGCCCTACCTCAGCCATGCTGACTGACTAGTGGCTTACCTGTCCCTCCTCTCGTGCGTAGGGTCCCAGTGTGAGAGGAAGAGTTCACACCCCCAAAGACGGTGAGTCCCTGGCCCCCGGCTGCGTGGAAGTTGTTGTAGTTCGGGATGGAGGTCACGCCGAAGCTGGGGTAGTGCTGAGGGGTGGGGTCTGTGCCATAGCGGTACCCAGAGCTCTGGTTCAGGCTGCCGTCCCTCTCCTCCGTCAGTTTCGCTGCTTCTTTATCCTTACATTGCACACAGCCCATTATCCAAGTTCCTGATGGGAGAGAAAGAAGGCTCTTGAACATGCATGCTTCCTGGCTGCTCTAACAGGAAAGATGGCAGGTTCCATCAGGAGGTATCTCAGTTCTCTGCCGACCGCAGTGTCCCTCAGTGCTCTGGATGCACAAAGAGAACAGTGCTTATGAGGTACAATGTCCCTCAGTGAGGCCTGTGCCCCCTAAAAATTCCACACTACCACACATCTGCCCAAAGACGGCCCACCAGTTTCTTATGTTTTCCTCTAGTCACCTCAAAAACTAATATGGGCAATAAGTGAGTTTTTTAATACTAGAGCAAAACTTTCCAATGCAGCACCCTCTAAGGAGGACACTGGGAGAGCTGGGGAGGCCAGGATGCAGCCCTACTGTGCGCACTTATCATGAAAGGGTGATCGGTATTAAAGCTAAGAGGAAGTGAGCGTGTGGCAAGTACAACGGGCAGCACCAGCGGCTGTCATGGTGGCCTCCAGCAGCAGAGGCACTTAGAGCTACTAGTTAGCATTTCAATTTCCTATTAGAGTTTGACATTCTTAAATGCTCATTTAGAAAGAACGTTTCTATGGCCTGGAGGTGGTGGTGGACGGAAAGGCTGAGCCATGCTACCCCACCCTCCTCTCACCTGCCCTCCCAGGGTGCCTCATCTGGTAAATTCCTAAAGACCTAGCCGCTCCTGTTGGAATCCTGAGGGGCATGCCCAGGGCTGCTCTGTTTACTTCACTTTTCCTGCTTCAGCTGTTACCTTCTCGCCTGGGGAGGAGGCCTTGACCATACCCGCCCTTTCTTCTGGACAAGCAAGGAATCCACCATGTCCCAGTTAAGATACCACTTCTTTTGTGAGGCCTTCTCAGACCCCCGTTCCACAAGATGGAGTAGTACCTTTCTTAAGTGCCCACTGACTTCTATGCTTTCCCTCACCTTGGGACCCACTGTACCACAGTAAAAGATGGCCTGTCTACTGTCCCACTGCCCCCCCCCCCCCACCATGGTCCATTTCTTCAGATATGCTGCCAACACCCAGCACACAGTAATTACTGAATAAGTAACAACCGAATGAGTAAAAAGCCTGTACTGTATTGTATTTTTTTCTTTTTTCTTTCACTTTGTATCAAACCCAATCTTTCTCCCAGTGCTTTTCATCTGTAGTATGTCTTGCTTCCCCCTTCTCCCTCCCCCCTTTAATTGAGACAGGGTCTCGCTATATAGCTCTGGCTGTCCTGGAATTCACCATGTAGACCAGGCTGGTCTGGAAGGCATGCGCCACCACAGCCAGCCCCTGTCCTGCATTTTCTAGTGTTACTGCTATGTAGGTGAGAAGTGAACTCAGGCATACAGGGAAGGCAATGAATGTCAGCACTGTAAGTGAACAGGGACAGACGGAACTTGCAGGAAGTGTCCCTGCCAAGACTCTGAAAAGGAGCTTTGGGACCAAAGCATCAAATAAGAGACATGTGACATCATGTACAATAACATACACTCTCTGGGGAAGGCAGGGCTGGCACAGGTCAGGAAGAGAGTCAAGACCATAAAGGGTAACTCACATCCACGCAGGAGCTGCACGGGGGTGAGGAGAGAGATGCCTGGTGACAGTTCCAAAACACTGGGCTCGTCCAGACCAGGGCACGGAAGTGCATTTGACACTCAGAGCTCTCACCACCAAAGTGAAGCTGAAGTGAGCTGACCTCAACTTCTTGAGAAGAGGAATGTTTATCAGGCAGCCGCCTACTACTTGAGCTGAGATCACCAAATCTGGAACCCATTTCCTCATAAATCATTCGAGATTAATTTACAGCATACTGTGTCCAAGATGTTCTCTCACTTAATGGTCAGTGAATGATTTTAACAAGTTTCCAACAGGAAACTATCTCCAAGGCATGATCTACTGAGGTATTTCACCACTGCTGCCGTTGCAAGTACCGTATCTCGCTCACTTTATCCTAACTCTTCCATGGGACAACGTTGCTTTGAGTTTGGGCAAGGGCCAGACAGAACATACTTGCTCCAAGTGCTTGGGCCAGACAGAACATACTTGCTCCAAGTGCCTCTTTTTCTTGGGGATTTCATTGATTTGTTTAAGCAGAGGATGTGAGCCAAGAATCACAGGGTCACGTTCGTATCTGCCACCCCTGTCCACCAGGAGACATGATAAGCAATGTCTGAGAATGTTTTCAGTTGCCAAAACTCAGGGAAAGGGATACTTGTACATCTAGTGAGGTTAGAACAGGGTTCCGTCAAGCATTCTACAATGCACAGAATAGCCTCTTGCAACAAGCAATTCCCTCGGCTCCAGTGTTACTGGTGTTACCCCGGAGAAACCCTGATTTTCTCTGAAACCTAAAACCAATGAGAACTTTCAGTCCAAACCATCTTTTTAGTGCAACAAAGCCATCCCTATTAGAACTCTTGCAGAAAACAGGACATCGAATCTCACTTTAAGACAACATTCTAATGTCCCTGTAAAGAGTTCCACAGTGAAACAAGTGATTCACAGTGCAGGTAGTTTCAGGAAAAGGCATAATCCCTGGAAGTCAGGGATTGGCTGCTGGCCCTCTGCCTCACAGTTGTGTGTGTCTCAGGAGGCTGGAACAGAGCTAAGCTTTCTACAGATGTCAAGTGAATAAACCAAGACAATCAAGAAAGGTTGTCCTGGAGAAGATGATCCCTGTGGAGGGAATACACTGCATGCACACACACTGTGAGTGAACTACGCTTCTGCACAGATCTTGCTCGCTCTATTCTTGGACTGACTTGTACGAGGAATCAGGAGTCATGACAGAAGTGGGAGCAAGACAAAACAGAAACAATGCCGACGCTAAGAGCTAATCACGATGCTCTCTGTGAGAACCTGTGGTCTTCTCCCTCCCATGGGGCTCAGGCAGCCCAACCATTCCTAGATAAAGAGTCGGGAGACACTATATGGACTGTGCTCAGTGTCACTGCCGTGAGGCAACTTTCTGGGCATTTGAACTAAGATGAGACTATCTCTATTATTCAGTTTTGTGTGGTGGTTTCTGTGTCCACCAACATGGAGTGTACTAACTATTCCACTTGCTTTTCATTTGTGGGTCACTGCAAAGCACTGTCAGTGCCACTCTGAAGACACTGGGGTCCATGCGTCTGTGTTTAGAAGAGCTGGCAGAGAAGCATCTGACTAACCTGACCCTGTGTGAACAGTCAGGATATCCCAGAGTATAGCCCCTATTTCTCAATCCGTTTGGAAGTGGAGAGGCCCTGTTTCTATGAGAAAGACCCAGGCTCCTTAAACGTAGTAGTCACGCAGGCAGATCTTCTCTAGTGTGCCAGCAACATTACCCAACTGGGGAGGAGCTGCCATACACAGTGAGGCCCGGCCACACCCTCCTCCCACGAGCACAGCAGATATGATCGCTTTATCCTGCTGTCATGGAGTGGCCTCAAATCCTCCACACTGTTCTGTAACAGAGGGTGCCCTGCAGTACTGGGGGTCCCAGCAACCATAGGTGAGGTATGTTCTGACCTGAGCTGGGCTCGGGTGAGTATACACTCTCAATTTCTGAGGCTGGTCTGTGGGCACATAAACAATGAGAAAGCGTCTATGTCCTCAGCTGCCAACCCCAGAGCAATGCTCATGATCAAGTCCTACAGCTGCTGGGTAGCAGAGCCTGGATGAGCACACTGGCCATGCTGGCAAACGCCTTTCTCTGTGGCATGCTGGGGAAGAAAGCCAATGAGTAGCTGTCATCTCAGCGGAGTAGGCTGTTACCCTGGAGCCAACGGAAGAGGGAATGGGGAAGTGACAGACTTAGACTTAGTTCCCCATCCCGACCACCTACACCCCCCCCACACACACCCCATTCCCACCCTGGGAGCCTAGAGGGCAGCGCAGGCCTGGGGAAGGACGGGTGAGGCCTGGCCAGCCAGAACTCTGACGTGACTTGCTTCACTCTCCCTTCTACTCTGGCATTGCCCTTTCCTGGGCAAATCTGACAATGGAGGCTAAGAGAAGGCCGGAACCAGAGCAACTACATGTAAACAGTGGGACTTAGGAGCAGGGTCGTAGGTCGCCTGCAGCTTCCCACACTGTGCCGGAGGCAAAGGCAAAAGCTCCCAGCTTCCTGAATGAACGGCCCTCTTAATGAACAGCAACGGGATGAGAGAGGGCAGGAGGAGGCGGGGCACAGTCAAAGTGGGGTGACCCCAGGAGACCGGGTTCCTGGCACATGGCTTTTGATGCTGGTAAAATCAAAACCACCCACAGGATTGACTTAAGGAACTAGATTCTCAGTAGAGACGGTGAATCCCGTGAGGAGTCAGGGCAGCTGACTGTGAGTTTCCCCCACGTCTGCTGGGGCCTCACTTAGACGCCTGAGCATCATGTGCAGAGCACCACGAGCAGAGCAGAGGTGGCTGGGTTACAGAACCTGCCATACTAGCCTCCTGATTCACCAGCACTTTTCAATCCTGTGCAATGGAGCGTTCCTCCTTCCTAGAACACAGGGCCAAATGCCCTTGGCAGCTTACAGGTCTTTATCTGCCTTTTGGGTACAGACAGAGAGGTCCTAGGAATAAGGAGGATGGAGAAAAAGCAGGGCGCCTTGGTGCTTCTCGGTTACATAAGCACTTGTGGCGGTCCTGAGGCAAAGAGAAGGTCCAGCTGGGCTTGCATTGTGCAACTGTAAGACCGTGGAGGCTGAGCCGCAGACAGCCTCGGTGCTGGGTCCACCCAGTGTCAGCACAGCACAGTACTCTGCCCACTTGGAAAAATCTACTTGCTGCCAGCTGGCAGGAAGAAATGAGATGTCCCCTGCCCTGCGGAGGCTCTGCTGTGGTGGACAGAATTGTAAGCTACCTTCCAGCTCCCTGTATAGCCTCCACAGTAGGTGAGTGAGCCACTCCTGTGTGAGGTGGTGTGACCTGGTAGAGCCAACCTTAGGAAAGACAGTATCCCAATGAGTTGACCTCATCAAGTAGGCCGTGGAGGTGGTGGCTCTTCCTGGAGCTGAAGTATGAGAAGCCATCA